TAACTATTTCTCTACTCATACCTCCTATTTCATATGTCTTCTACAAAAAAACAACTATGAAATGCCTTTCAGAAGTATGCTTTATATTTACATTTATTTACAATTAACTTATCTAATATTTAGGCTGTTAGCAGTTGAAGAAAGTTATTCAAGTGAGATAAAGTCTTTCTTTTTGTATCCTGTAAATATGCTTTGTTTTTGCGTCTTTCAAACTAATCAAAACACTTTTAGATTCACTGAACCTTTATACAACTAAAACATCCTTTACATTTTATTATTCTTTTTTTTACTTTGGTACCTCTATAGTGTATTTCACAAGTAGTCATTTCTATAGACATGTGCTCTATTAATATTATTAAGACAGTGAAGTGTTCATTTTGTAGCAGGAGACAATAAATTTTAATTTTTGAAGATTAATACCCGAAGACTTTCGTTTCATGCGACAAGTGTTTATTATATGATAATCAAATCTGAATAGTTCAGTGCTTAGATCTGATAAATACTTACTACTGCTTGACGGATAGAAGTGGGTACGCACCAAACAAAGCAGTAGACACTGCACTAACTAGGTGTCAATTAAGTCTAAGTATCCATCACACTATCTCTGATGTCATTCATTTCCATCTAACCATCTAGTCAATTAACAATAAGTATCACTCAAATATGGACAAAATTTTATTTTGATAAAATCACACAGTGTTATACAGTAAGCAATATTTACTGATGACCACATTCCGAGCACAAATCATGACCGCTCATAGTTATCTGAAGCCATTCACGCAACTTTCTTGCTTCATTTATATACATGAGTATTTTGATAAAATCAATATAAGATAAAGTACATTCGGAAATAATATTAGTATTATCAATAAAATACAATCAGATGGAAAGTAAGGTGTTTTCATAGTAAAATAAATGACCCGTTAGAATGTTAGAATGAATACATTTTACCATTATTTATTATCCTCCTCTGATTTGACCGGGAGTAAACATATCTTCCATAACTCTGGTATTTGCGTTGACTTACTTCTACTGCATGTATTGGAGATGTAGACTCAATAAACTAGAATTAGTAATCAACCTCTCTCTCTCTCCACCTACCTAGATTACTTTTTAGAATTTTGACCCTCCCTGTCTCAACCTATTGTGTGGTTGTGTGTTAATGCATGTAGTGCGATTGCTGACCTTTTTTTATAAATTACTCATCTTCTCGGGATCAATCATTCTAACCTTAGCTAAATCCTTATACTCTGACAATCTCACTACTTCCAACCTATTAGTTTGACCTATGTAGTTGACCTAACTCACAGTCATTGCCAGGTATTTTGTAAATTATATTATTTTGTTTAATTGAGTCCACCGTTTCCTGTGTGTAATTTTATCAAAATAAAATTTTATTCATAATCGAGTTATGCTCTACCACAGTGCCCATAACATTATAACACATTAGGCATCATTTAAAGCTTTAATATTTCCAAATATGAGACTATCCAGCTTCCAAGTAACACTAGAATGAAACGCTACTAGAAGCTGTTTACTTTTGCGAATAACTAATTTTGTTTTGAGACAGACAGTTTTATTTTTACTCGGCTGAACTAGAAAAGCGTGAAAAATCATCAGCCATAGGTGGTCTACACGCTATAGAATCAGGCCACAAAACTGATTTTGACAATACTGAAATAATCCGGAAAAAGCACTTCAGAAACCACAAAAAACGTCTAATATCAGAAGTACTTCATATCAAGTGGAATCCAAATTGTCTGAATAGGATTGATGGACTAAAACAGAATCTGACCTGGTTACAACACCCCCTCCCCCATGAAATGATCAAATCAACACGAATGTGATGAGCAAGTTCACTATGTAAACAAACACTGCTTTTATAATTTTACACACATGTAAAACCCACCAATATACACCTAGTTTTATTATTTTTACTAACTGGTCAATTTGACAACGCAAAAATGACACCATGATGAGTAAAATGATTAAGTTGTTATACGTAGGCCCGGATTTTGTAAATTCTGGTTGAACAATAAATTGAAAAAGCTATTACCACGATTAAATAGCGAAACGTCAGTAAAAAAATAGCAAAATCGTTTTGTTTTCCATTCATTTCCAAATACAAAAATACCTTTATAATAATGTGTATCAATTTTTTAATGGTGATACGGACGAAATTTACTACCCACATTTACATAATTTTAGTTACATAAGTCTAACTACGTTGTGTTTTCTTTCCTAATAACGTGATGACAGATCGTCAATGATACTTACATAACCTCCAACAAGTAGGGCTGAATGATGGTCTACAATAGTGAAAGACACCTGCATCTTATGATATGCCATGATCATATTGAATCTCTTAACTTCAGCTAACAATCCAATTTAAAACGCTTTCCATATTAGATACAGCAGATGCCACACTCAAATAGATTATACTAGAATGATGAAGATTTGGTGTCATGCTATTTCACATTCACCATATAAAAGAAAATTTCATTACATCTTCAGTGGAGTTAAGAGAGTGTATTACTCGAAAATTTACTAAACTAGGATAGATGAGAAACACTTTTACTATCAGTTACTGCTGAAACCTGTCTTGTAAAATGGATTAAATGCCATCTTTCCAATTGATTCTGCAAATATTTGCTACGTCAGTGTGATACCAATAAACGATAAGCTTAACAAGAGTTTGCATGTAGGCATTTGATTTATTTTAAGAATTGAATTATCAACTAAAGAACCAGGCACTGAAAACCAGGGAGTACTGAACAGCTGTTTCATCCGAATTTGAGACTCATCGTCAGTACGCACCCACTAGAATTACAACCCAGGACCTTCTGGTAAGCTTATAGACTAATCAGCCGATGACACTGGTTGGTGCCAGTCCCGCTAAAATCATGCATTGGTAGACGGTATAATTCATGGACCACTGAATCGATGAGTCCCAATGATTGAATGGTCTACGAGCTTGTCTTGTAACCAGGAGGTCGTGGGTTCGAGACCCAAGGGGTGGTTGAGTACTACCAGTGAGTCCAGTGGTTTTCTAACTGGTATCAATCCATGGCCAAAACTTGAAACTATAATCTATTAGCCAGGTAGATGATAACAAACTGTAGTAAAGCACATCATTTATGCTTTGAAGTCAAGATAAAATGATATGCGTATGATAGTTAGTCATAACAGTGAGATAGAGAGAGAGAGAAACAGATTTAATACACAGTTCATTAGATAAGAATTCTACAGTTAACTCTGTTCGAATATGACTATTCAGTGAAAACTCAATGATTTATACAATGGCCAATTTTTCGTATGTTTTGGTCAACAGTTAAAGAATAACGGAAAAAAGCAAGAAGCACAGTTTAATTGTCTCGTTTGACATCTGAACTCTTCTCTCATACCTACATATGACCACATCACAGATTTTACCAACAACCTTCAGCTGACTAACCTAATGCATTTACAAATGAGAGACTGGTTTAGGGATCTAATGACATGTATATTTAAATTGCTGAAAATTCAAAATATAAAAGCTATCGGTACTTCTAACTGTTAATACGCTAAGAAGTACAAAAGAAAGGCTGAATACCCTAATTTTGTCTCGTTTCTTTCGAAATTAGATTTTATCTTATAATTAAAACTGGCTTTAAAGTATTACCACCGAAAAACTGGAAGTAAGTAGAAATTATCCCTAACAAAGATTGTTTTTTTAAAAAGAGACTAGATAAGTTAACTATTCCTACACCTTCCATATTTGATCATTTTATTTCAAATATCACAAAGTTATGCAGTATTAATAACTGAATGACATGATATTTGAAGTAAACGCATTTAATACGGAATCACATTTTACCACAATATCCAAGTGCTACTCACCGATAGGACTCACATAAATGATGTGCTTTACTACAGTTTGTTATCATCTACCTGGCTAATAGATTATAGTTTCAAGTTTTGGCCATGGATTGATACCAGTTAGAAAACCACTGGACTCACTGGTAGTACTCAACCACCCCTTGGGTCTCGAACCCACGACCTCCTGGTTACAAGACAAGCTCGTAGACCATTCAATCATTGGGACTCATCGATTCAGTGGTCCATGAATTATACCGTCTACCAATGCATGATTTTAGCGGGACTGGCACCAACCAGTGTCATCGGCTGATTAGTCTATAAGCTTACCAGAAGGTCCTGGGTTGTAATTCTAGTGGGTGCGTACTGACGATGAGTCTCAAATTCGGATGAAACAGCTGTTCAGTACTCCCTGGTTTTCAGTGCCTGGTTCTTTAGTTGATAATTCAATTCTTAAAATAAATCAAATGCCTACATGCAAACTCTTGTTAAGCTTATCGTTTATTGGTATCACACTGACGTAGCAAATATTTGCAGAATCAATTGGAAAGATGGCATTTAATCCATTTTACAAGACAGGTTTCAGCAGTAACTGATAGTAAAAGTGTTTCTCATCTATCCTAGTTTAGTAAATTTTCGAGTAATACACTCTCTTAACTCCACTGAAAATGTAATGAAATTTTCTTTTATATGGTGAATGTGAAATAGCATGACACCAAATCTTCATCATTCTAGTATAATCTATTTGAGTGTGGCATCTGCTGTATCTAATATGGAAAGCGTTTTAAATTGGATTGTTAGCTGAAGTTAAGAGATTCAATATGATCATGGCATATCATAAGATGCAGGTGTCTTTCACTATTGTAGACCATCATTCAGCCCTACTTGTTGGAGGTTATATTTAAGCAATCTACCGCTAAGCGACCAACGCACTCAGTTTAAATCATTACTGTTTTCTAGGTGAATCAAATATTACGGGTACTTCGATTTTTATTTCAGTTGAACATTTAACGCTGGAATCAAGTACACAAATAAATAAATACATTCCACTCAAGTATGCCATTTTCCCCCTTTTCATCACTTATCATAAAATTCTTTTAAAAAAACACACCATTAAACCAAAAACTCTTTAAAAGTTGACTTACTGGAAATTATCGAAGACTTTGTTAGTTATGCCGTATATCAGTTCACTGGATGTTGCACGATTTATATTTCCAAATAATTATTGTAGTAGTAGTAGTGATAGTAGTAGTTAAACACGAGTAGTTTTATTTTTGCAGTGTGTTTTAATGTTCCTCAGGTATATTGTGTGTTCAAACTTGGTCAACAAGTGAATGGATCCTCCTTCGCATAAAAATGATTTTCATATAATTAACAACAAAATAAACAATCAAAGGATACTTATATGTATAACCAAAACGAGAGAAAAAAAGAACAGTGGACAGAACATTCTCCCAACTCTCTTAGCGCATAAGTTCGATTGGTGCAAGTTGTGTATTCCTCGTTAGCCTACACTTGTGTATGCGTTGTTCGTATGGTGGTAGTGTATGTATGTATGATCTGTGTGCGTGAGGATAGGTGGGTGGGTAGGTGTATAACAATCTCATATGATCGTGATTTGAGTTGATTAACTTATTCTTTCCTTATTTCACACCCCTCGAAAAGAATTAAAAAATAAGAAGAAAGACAAAGAAAATGTTGCATTGATGTTAGTGAGATTCAACTAACACTCTTATAAGCTTTTCTAATTGGGTTTAATTTATGTTCTATCCCTCCTATCCTCTTATTCTCTCCCTCTCCACATACACACTAGTAACAACTTCACTTGTATTCTAGTTATGCGTTCGTGTGTGTATCTGTTCTATGCTTGTGTGTGTGTGTGTGTCAATATGTACGTATATGTTTACTCTCTTCTACTTGCATATATATATACAGTGAATGATAAGGGATGAAGAAAGTGGACAAGTATGAAAAGTGGACAGTCTAGCCAATCAAAATACTTTGGCTAGAACAGGTTAGAGGGGATGAAATTTTAAAAAGATTTATCACTAAGGTTGTTTTTTAATTTATTTTATTTAAAGAACATGATTTTTCTTCTCTGTATGGTAAGAGAGAGAGAGATAAGCGAAAATATCCGTTAGAAAAGGCTTAACAGTGTTGATTTCATATAAAATAATAATGAAAATAATAATCAGCTTTGCATACTGTAACTGCAAATGTCCGTAACCTGATGTTTCAAACTATTAGTTGCTATGCTTGCTGCTCGTCATTACTTAAGATTCTTCTAGAACCTAGAAGAACCTAGAAGACCTGGATTTCGCGCGTGGATGATTTATGTTTGATGTCACTGTCACAAGATCGAAGACTTACAAGCGAGCGAAAAAGCAGCCGGCGAAGACAGGACTGCAGGTGAACATAGACAAGACGGAGGTTATGAAAATAACCAACCAGTCAACAACAACAACAACAACAACAGCAACATCAAGCGCGAATCACCGTCAACGGGAGGGATTTGAAAGAGGTTAGTTACTTCATTCACTTGTCTAGGGAGCATTGTCTCAACTACACGCAGTCGGAACGAACGAGGATGTCAAATCGAGCGAGAATCGGGAAGGCGAGAAACACACACATTCATCAACCTGAAACAACCAATCTGGAAATCTTCGTCACTCAGCCAGAATCAACAACAAAATTCGGTCGGATTTTCAATACAAACAACGTCATGTCAGTCAGTTCTTCTTTACGGATCGGATCAGAAACTTGGCGGGCGGGTGGGTCACAAAGAATATTTCCAACAGGCTGGCTATTGCAAACCTTTATCAACAACTAAATGTCTTCGCTGGCTCTATACTGAAGATCAGATCAGATGGCCGGGCCGGGCCGGAAAGAATCGCCAACAAGAAATTATGGCTGGGAACAAACAAAACAAAACAAGAACCAATCGCCCAACAACAGCAAATATGCAGGAGAAAGTGGAGATGGATTGGACACTCGTGGCTGAGGAGGCCAGTTAGTGACATCGCGCGCGCGTCAGGCCATTGCTCGAGTGGAACCAGGCCGAAAGGGTAGCGGCGAATGGGACGTTAGTGCAAGGGTGACATGGAGGAGATTGTGCAAAGAGGAGTTGAAAGAGTATGGACTAACATGGATGCAGGTGAAAAGTACAGCAGAAGGAAGACAGAAGCAAATGCAGGCGTGCAGTTGAAGTCCTGTGTTCCACTAGGAACCCAAGGGAGCAATAATGATAATACAAGATTCTTCAGCCATGTATAATCAAAGCACAAATAAAGTTGGATGTTAGATCATTTTTAGGAGCAGAGATGATTCTTTTACAGTTCACTCATTTAGTTGGCTTCCGATGACTTACTTACTTACTTACTTTTCCGCCCTTTTATCACTTGAAAATCGAGGATGATGGTGGTATTCTAACAGTTCGTGATAGATAAGTGTTTAAATGATTTCCTATGATATCACTTTCAACTCACTAAGTTCTAATTTTTATCTTATTTTATAACTCAAAGTCTAGTCTATGCATAAAAATGACAAAGAGAAGTGTCAACTTACTGTCTTAGCGTATGTACAGTTTCTGAACAGTCAACCTTTATAGTGCTTGATGGGCGTACCTCTTATATATATATATATATATATATATATATATATATATATTCTAGGTGTTTGCGGTTGTCTGTGTGAGCAAATGTCTTAATATGGAAATCCATTTTTATAAAATACAATATTGTTTATTTACATATTAGACGTATATAAGGAGTAGCAGTTGGACAGATGAAATAACAGCACATTATTTATACACTATATCACAAATAGTGATGTTACCAAAATCTACTTCCATTACTGCCATTGACAATTTATGTTATCATTATTTATATGGACCTGTAAGTCAGTGTCACAGTAGTTGGATGACCGTCAAGCAGTTATATATGGTCCGAGGTTCGATCCCTGACCACCATTAGTCTTAAATCTCTCTTACGAAGAGAGAAGGTTGGACGTGAGGTTAAGAACCGAACTCCTTAAAAAACACCATACCTGACAATTTTCATTTCGCCTACAACCATCATGCATTAGATATCAGTAGTTGTGTGCCAGTTGAATGTGTCACTTCATATGATTTCAAATAAATACACTGACGATAAACTTGAATTAGATTACCCTTGTAAAATCAGTTGACTTCCTGGTCTTCTTTCTGTTGTCTTCTTCACAGTTAGTGAGTAGGGTGAAATTTGAGTATAAGATATTTCATTGTGTACTACACATTCGTGCGTCACTCATTATCAAGTGAATTTAAGAATTCTTAATTATATTCATATGATCATTTTGAGATGTTATTTATCAGTTAGTTTTAGTCAGGTTAACAAGTGTATGTCTCACGTGAATACTATGAGTTTGTTCAAGCTGGTTTTGTGATACCTTTAACTGACTAGGAATTGATACAAATGAAGCTGAATGTGACACTAAATTTCAAATTATTTCCTTTTCTGATCGATGTAGTTAAAATGTTAGCCTGTGTTTAAATATTACTGTAACACCAGAAGGTAAGACACGGAAGTAAAGGTATACCGACGCACTTCTTTACCTCGCCACGTCAGTAGTAAGACTGGTAAAGAGGGAAGGTTGGGCATTAGGCTAGTAACTCCATCGCCTAGAAATAAACACCACTGCTACAGAAACTTCAAGCCTCTAGTTTGAAGCCCCCCACGTTCCACTGGGAACGTAAAGGAATAAAAAAAATAGTATTGCATATAAGAATAATATTTCGTTAGAACACATTGTCTGTATCACCCCCCATCCACCACAGTATTTTTCACAGAGTTCCTCTCCTTCTGTTGAATGTTTACTGTCTTATTCTTTGTATTCATATACAGCAGGCTAACCTGTTTGTCAATAATTTTTCCTCATAAAAAATCCCCATTGTAACATTTAGAAAATCAAAACAAGTGATTCAGCTGTACAATCGTATATATATGGTATTTTAAGAAGTTATATCCGGTGAGGGAAATGAATCTTAGGTGTGAATGCATGAAATAATAATAATAGTATTATGAAATGCAATTAAAAACTAAAATGTTTGTGATTATAATCGTAGTTAAATGTCAAGTGGCAAAGCAAATTAATGTCATATATAGAATAATTCATAGGATGGATAGAACTTGAAAAAGGCTGTGCAATTATAGGAGTGGTAGACAAATCGAATCAAATAAAAACGTTACGTAATATTGTGTGAAATTCGACAGCATAGAATTTAACGTTGTAAAAAAGAATTGATTTAGAATGACAAGTGGAACAAGTGAAATAATACCGGGGACAGTTCAAAGTGAGAATAGTAATAATAGTAACAATTGACGTAATAAGGAAGAGTACACAAATTGAATAGGCAAAAATGGAAAAACGAAAAATTGGTAGAGCCGAAATATGATTAGGGATTACCATACTTTAACATAGAGGGATTAAGACCATGAAAGTTGGAGGGGTTGAAAGAACTTTTTCTGTAAACAGAGATCTGGCTTTTCTGTTTCGATAGCCCAAGATGGCTTCAGCAATACAGATGAGTTGGGTACGTAGGAATTTGGCTAAGTTACTCTTTGCCTTGTAGGGTGGTCATTATCGACCAGATGATCAATGATCGTGCTTCTTATTGCTCCACTTCCACCTCTTCGTAACTACCATGCAGGATAGTGTTCTTGGATCCTTTTGGGCAAAACTCGAGTTGAACGACCGATATACCTAGCTCCATACGAGCAAGTGAATTGATAAACACACATAGAGTTGGTCAACAGCTGGATCTTGTTCATCAGGTTATTAAACAGTAATGGTTGACTAGTAAAGGCAATTCTCAGAGATACAGCAGGGAATGAATATGCATTCACACCTATGATTCAATTCCCTCATTGGATATAACTTCTTAAAAACCATATATTTACGATTGTACAGCTTGATGATAAATTCGTTGAAAAGAGTCTCTTCACTAAATCACTTGTTTTGATTTTCTAAATAATTTTTCCTTCATTTGATAGTTCTGTTCAGATTTATACAGGAGAATTTGTGTAGAAGGCCTTTTGAGAGAGTGTTGTATTGCCTATTATGACATGCACGACAAGAATCACAGATACATAATCGGATACATGTCCGATAGTAGAATTAAATCACAAAAACTGTTATGATAAAATATATATGTGTGTTTTCTAGCGTTATAGTTTTATCTACAGTTATGATATCATGAAAACTGGCTAGTTATGCATATATGGACTTCATATCAAAACTTTGTTGAGAAGGTGGGTAAATTTTTCTCATTCATAAACATTTGATATTTCCCTGCTGATTTATAGTGAATGAATTTTAAACATCCTTCTTAACCATATTTTATATTTTAAAATTTGTTAATTCGATAAACACTTTGATGTCTTGTTAATTCTTCCTGGCCACCGTGTATTAATTAGTATGAAGTTACAGTCTGTACAAGCATTCAGTAGTGTCACATTCCCTATGACACCGGCAATGAATACATCGTTTTCATTTTCTCTCTAATTATTATCTGGCGCTCACTAGTGACTGTCTATAGGATGACGTTTTCCAAAGTTCTAATAAGAAGTTGTGACCAATGACGGCCACCAAGTTAGGCGTATGGACATAATAGAAAGTTTTCTTGATCGCCCTGGTTAGACGTTGCGATAGAATCGCCGCAGGAATATCTCCCTTGAATTGGAGATCTAAAAACAGAGGCTTTTTCTCCACCGTTGCCAGTTCATGTTTACGACTATTGTAACCTATGTTGGCTTTAATAAACTTCTCTGGATATCCGTTCTCGCTTAGAATGTATCGGATGACCTGGAGTTCTTTCTCTACGTAGTCTTCGAAACAAGTAGACCTCGCTCTAAATGTTAAGCACCTGATTAGATTACGTTTGTATTTCATCAGTACGAAGCTCAGGAAGTGTGTGTACTGAGCTTTGGTCTCTAGCTTTCTAAATATGGTACTTTTGACGGAACCATCCTCTTTTCTCGTTTTTACGTCTCCTATTCAAGGGAGATACTCCTGCGGAGATTCTATCCCAACGTTTAACCAGGGCGATGAAGAAAACTTTCTACTCTGCATGTCTCTGTCTATCCTTCAGTAGCCGTCCGATGTTCACCCAGCAACTCAAAGATATCTTACCTAACCTTAGCTCTTCTTCATGCGTATGGACAGATACTCATCGACAATGAAATTGGCTATTGGTTGCGTTATATTTCGCAAAATTTGCAGAAGTTAGAGTTCACGGGTCATTAGCTTCCGTCCCAATATTTGAACATACTTTTATAATCTGAAAGTCTTGGGTTTAATCTGTGGTGTATGTGAGTGAGTACAGCTGAAAAGTTCCAAACGAAACAGATCTCCAACGCTCTCTGGTTTTAAATACTTTTCTAACTAAAGTCAGTTCACCATCAAACTTGAAATCAATGGAATCCTTGCAAAGCAACACTTGAAAACAGCGGTTAGGACTCTCGCCGACCATGAACATGGTCCGGGGTTCGATCCCCTGCCGACGCACGCCTGATATCTATGATCGGCCTGCAAAATTTGGGCTACCGATATCACAGCTGAGAATTCCACAGCTGTACCAAAAAAAATATATAGTGTCGAATCAAGCTGTAATCAACAACAACAAATAAGTTATCATCGTTTCAAAATTTTGGGAATGTTTATATCAAAATCTGATGAATCATCATTTTTGTGATAAATTTCTTTTGTGTTTTAAGTATTCACTTGTTCAAAACGTGATAAATTTGAGCATTAAGCGTGAGCAGTGATAATAAATACTAGCAGTAATAATAGTAATAATTGCGGTGATGATTACGCGGAATCAGTCAATGTCTTTAGTTCATTTCATATCTGATGTATGAAAAAAGCCTAATCTACACTGATAAGGTAGAAGTCAGAATGATTACAAAAAGATATATACATGTATACATTTAACTTTGTGATTGCATAACAAACTAGAAAATGAAAATTATTCATTTTATACCAGTTATATATATATATATATATATATGCTTACGTATAAATGCTTTAGAATATAATTATTTCCAGTTTGTGTGTAGTAAACCAAAATACGAAGATGATTTTGTCTTATATCTCCCACTATAATATGACTGTATAAGAAGCTCAAATATAATTAACTAAATACTAGACTAAACAGTTCGTCTCCGAAATCAATTAGATTATCTCAGCAAATTTTTGATAGGATCATCAAAACAATCACCCTTCCAGTCTCTCTTATTATATTTGATTTGAAAGCCCTACTGGTTGACGTGAAATGGCTTTGAAAAAACGCTCATATAAGTTAAAACTATCTTTTGTGTTTTCTTTCATGATTGTCATGTTTAGTATGAAGCAGATAATTGATAATTGTGAGCTAAATATTTTTTTTAAAAATTGATCACAAATTGAATAAAGTTGGAGAACCATTGAAAAAACCTGCCGGGAGAGGGGTACTGGACAGCCGTGTTCGTCCTCGCTTGGAACTCTTCAGTAGTACGCTTCTATGACTATAAAAGGGATGGAATCAAGAGCCTTCAGGTTACAACACCAACTCGTTGGGTATTCACCTAATGGGAAGGAACCCTGTAACCAGTCAGTTTTAAATTCTGTTAACCATATCCCTGAAAACAAACATTTGAAATCTAGTGTTCATTAGTGACTGACAACAGGGTGACGTTGTAGGAAGCCCTAGTAGGAACTCGTGACCACAGGCATTCACCAAGTCCGGCGTGTGGACAGATAACCACCGATGACAGTGGCTAGAGATCATGGTATATGTCATGAAGTGGCAGAAGTGAGAATTTATGGATCACTGGATACTGCCCCGTTGGCTAAATGGTCAACGGGCTCATTTAGTAACCTGTAGATCCTGGGTTAGTTCATCTGTGGGGGTAATGACATCAGACTTATAAAGATTTCCAAACGAAACAGCCATTCATTACTCTGTGGGTTTCAGTGGGTTTCTAATTGATATCACTCTGTTATCAAACTTGTTAATTTTTCCACTAACTTTTAGTTCTCAATAAATCTCAATATCAAGTGTTGCTTTGTAGGAGTGTCTTATGTTAACAATCTTTTTTTATTCTTTCACGTTTCCAGTGGAACATAGGGGGCTTCAACCTACAGGCTTGAAGTTTTGGTAGCGGTGGTGACTATTTCTATGCGATGGAGTTGCTAGCCTCACGCTCAACCTTTCGTCTTTACCAGCTTTATTTCTGGCTTAGCAAGGTAAAGGAGCGCGTCGGCCGAAGATCGAACGCCGGACCATGGTCATAGTCGGTGAGCGTCCTAACCCCTATGCCATCAATGCCATATTATTTATAAGGCTTTTCAAATATTCGTTACTAGCAGTGGTTCTTCGCCAAAACGTATTATAGAGTCATTTTAGTTTCTCACAAAACGAATTACATTCAGCGTAGCAAGTGTTCCATGATCCGTTTAGTGGACTGAACTTAAACATGTAATTAATAAGATTAATTGACCGTTAAATTGTAGAGACAGGTGCTTCCATCAGGAGGAATTTTTAAAGATGTTCATCATAAGCTTGGTGTACTTCATTGTTGTAATCTTAAGAGATATTACCGTGGAGTAGTACTTTAAACACGTAAAGACTGAAATTAATCAGTTTATAATGTGATTGTTGAGTTCATTTTGCTATTTCTGTATAATCTTTTCCAATCACTTGGTATGATCCATTCTCTAAAGACACTGTGCTGTTCCTGAAGTGTTGCTTTCGGAGAGAAAACGAAAGCGAATGGGGAGCATATTTTTCATATCATCAGTCAAAGTTGATTTCCTTTTTCGAAATTCTCTTTCAGTTTTATGATGCACTTAACAGTCCTCCTTATTTAAATCGTTAAGTATAAATCCAAAATTTAAGATTATCTTTTAATACCATTCTCTAGGCTACAAGTAATATCTAGTAAGTTGCTGGAATAGAGATCTGGAATATAAATGAATGTTTTTTGGGATTGTTTTATTTTCTGAGCTGAAACCATCACTGATATTATTGTCCAGAAAGTCAACTTAAGACTTATCAATTAGACTATACAGGTAAAAGGACACAACAGAACCAAAATTATGGTAAACTTCGTGGAGTTTGACCGATCACAGGTGCCTACTGTCGATGATGAAATAGATGTTCAGTAATCCTTAGTGGTTTTCAACGGTTCTCTAACTGATATCAATCCATGGTCAAACTCGTCAAAATTAATCTAATCCTTACAAACAAACTCTTGAAAATTAATCTAATGCTCCCTAGTGGCTTGCTACAGGACGGAGTTTCCTGCAGTGAGTTCTAGTGAGAAGTTGTGATCAGTGAGATTCAACTAGTCATGTGTGAGGATTGATTTCCAACCGATGACATTGGTTAGTTTATGATCATGCTAAATCACGAATTTATAGAAGTTAGAATCCACGGGTTGGTGATTGAGTCGGGTTCCAGTGGCTGAATGGTATACAAGCCAGCTTGCCTTGTAACTGGAAGGTCCTGGGTTCTAACCGTGACAGTGGTTGCATACTGCTGATGATTCCCAAACTAGGATCACAGAAACAGCACTGTCCAGCACTTCCTGATAGTTTTCAATAGTTCTCTAACTAATATCGATTTGTGGTCAAACTCGTATAAACAAATCTATTCCTTACAAATCAACACTAGGTAAAGGTAAACTTTCTATTAGAAAAAGGGATTGTTAGCTATTGATGTTAATTCTGTGGCTGAGTATGTGGGAATTTAAATTCACTTTGACATGCTCTAGAAGAAATTTACAGTGGTTATTTTCATGCATACGAGAAAAAAAATGTTTTCCACAAACAATGAACAAACTTAAGTTCTATTTTCATCGCCCTAATTATTGAGAAGAGGGAAACTATGACTTATTCATAAATTGGTGTAAATACACGAGGTGTTTAAAAAAAAATTTTTATTCAATAGGTGATGAAAACAAACAACATGATCTCTCTGGGTTTGTTTGATTTCTGTTCATAGTTCTTCTAATTAGCGCTTCATTTACAAGCTCATGCCCATCACAATATACATGTTCAATGAATTCATGTTTTTTGTTGTTGTTTTGTTTGTTCATTTTTGTATTTGTAATTCAGCTTTTTAGTATATTCTAATTCCATATGAATACTATTTTCATGGAAATACTGAATTATTATTATTATTATTAACTTTTATAGTGTATTGACTAACACTAAAGGTGTGAATAATAAAACATGGTGAGTTCAATTCACCTTGAAATCCTTATGAAGATAATAATATGTGGTATAGTTTTTAGTTACCTGTATGACAGCCACCCGCGCTAGACTTTTTAGTAGGCTTAATAACCTAGTGAATGATGTCATGCAGCAAAAGGGTCCAGAGCCTCTCTCCAACTGTCTGTAGCTATCCAGTGATGAATTCAAGTGTATTTATCATAGCTAAGACTTGAACTACACATTTAGTCTAATTAAAAGCGGAGGAGAAATAATAATAATTTACTTTATTCCAAAAACAGTACTTATAATACAGAATGGAATTCTCAGCATTTGTCACAATATTGCATCTGATTTACTTAAAATATAAATAAAATTAAAAATTAAAACAAAAGTAACCAGAGGAATTTGTCCACGTTTACGATATAAAGTCAAAAATATTCCAAGCACGAATTAAGATCATTAACTATTACAATTTTTTAAATTTAATTTAATTTTTTTAAAATTTTTTGATTACAGTTTGATTCCACGCCATATTTTTTTAGTACAAGTATGGAATTTTCAGCATGGATATCGGTAGCCCAAATTTTGCAGGTCGACCATAGATATCAGGTGTGCGTCGGCAGGGGATCGAACCCCTGACCATGTGGATGGTCGGCGAGCGTCCTAACCGCTGTGCCAATAATAATAATAACAGTGAGTTCGTTTCAAACAGTACTTTCGATTCAGTTTGGACATTTTAGCATATATTGAATCTAATGTTCTGTTGATATAGTATAGTTAGGGGAAATACAAGATTAACAGTGGTAACACAGCTTAAACGATGTTCACACTTATGAAAAATAAATAAATAAAAACAAAAAATTGAGAGGATTATAAATATAAGCAATACAATAACAACAAAGTTTGGTACTGTAAGGGTGGAAGAAATGGTTTATTTAGTAGTGCGAAGAAGGTTAGTTAGTTCATGCCTGACACTATTTTCATCACATAAAGTACGTGCCACCAAATATGGTATAGCAGAATTTTTATACTTAGACGTAGTTCATAAAATCTTCTGAAAAGACTTCTGGTTTTACCTGAGAAGACACAAGGTTGGAGTTGCGGGTAGAGTGGGTGCTCGGAGTCGGAAAAAATTCCTTTGTTGCATGACATCAAGTGCCTATCAGTGACAATGTCAATGATATGGCCCAATGGGATACCATTCGTTCTACTGACAGTCTTCAGAGTTCCACGAAGTATGACAAAATAAGGGTTATCTTATGATATTTCATACAACTACACTTTATCTTCTTACCTTAGAACTTGAAATTCATCTGATTTTAAATCTATAACCATACCTAACGTCTTAAAATAAAAATGTATATTCATCGCATTTTTGGTTATTGCTACAATGATATCAGTTTTTATTTAAGAGCTTTAAGAGGCTGAAGGAGATTTATTGAAAAGAATACTCTTCGTTCCAAACAAATACCAGTAAGTCCACTGACAGTTACTAATTTTTTATTAATTCTAGTAAATAGAAGTTAATTGGTGGATGGTGACTAGCAGTGGATACCAATCAGGATGAGGATTTCGTCCTAATTGGGACTCGTCAGCTCGATGTACCTGTATTCCTCAGCCAGTGATGATGTTCCCACTGAGGCTGGAACTCACTGCGCCTTATCCTGGGTTCCGGTGCTAGTCACCATTCACCAATTATATGCCCAGACACTGTCGAAGCATCTGCACAAGGAGCCGACGTGTCAACCTGAGACCGAACACTTTGGTCCAATCAATCGATGGGAAGATCTAAAAAATGAATTAAATTCTAGTAAATGTATAAATCTGGTGTTCTTTTCATTTTTTTTATAGCTTATAAATTATTATGTATGGTCTACTATTGTATACTTTAATCAGTAAGATCTAAATTGATTTGAACAAGGGGATTTACC